GTGATAACAACACATTGTGTTCTTCACAGACATGCATTAGCTGCAAAAACTCTTCCTGAAAATTATTTTGCAGAAAGTTGTTGAGGCTGTTAACTTCATTCAGGCCCGAGCTTTGAATCACAGTTTGTTCAAAGCTTTTTGTGATGAGATGGGCTCTGAGCATTCCATTCTTTTATTGCATACTGATGTGAGGTGGCTTTCTTGTGGACTTATTTTAAATCATGTGTTTGAGCTCCGTACTGAGTTAGAGATTTTTCTTCGTGACCGGAATTCAAAGCTGTGTGAAGACTTTGCTGATCCGAAGTTCATCGCCTGTTTGGGGTACCTCTTAGATATATTTACCCATCTTAACCAAGTCAACAAACAACTCCAGGGAATGTCAGTAACCATTGTTGAAGCAAGTGAAAAGATGACAGCATTGCAGACAAAGCTGGACTTATGGGCACGGAGAGTTCACCAAAGTAACTTTGCAAATTTTCCAAACTTGGATGAGGATAGATCTGGAGTGTTACCCGAGATAAATGAAGACATCACAGAACATTTGAAAATCTTGAAGAATCACTTCACTGGCTACTTTTCAAAAGACATGATTCCAACAGAGAGATGGACAATAAGACCTTTTGCCACTGAACTGTCAGAAATGAAAGATGATGACCCAGCAATAGAGGAGCTGATTGATCTTCAATTCTCAGCTACTCTTAGAGAAGAATTTTAAAAGGTTGGTGTTCATTTTTGGGTAAAACTCGCAGATTCATTCCCACTCCTTCCAAGTGCTTGTTCCTTTTGTCACTACATACTTATGTGGATCAGGGTTCTCAAGTTTAGTAGCAATGAAGATAAAGGCCAGGAATCGATTGAAAGCCGATGACAACATGAGAGTAGCATTGTCATCAACAGCTCCTCGCATAAACAAACTGATTGACTCAATGAATCAGCAGTGTTCCCACTGATAATGTTTCTGTTTGGTTTCTGTTTGGTTTTATTTTTTGTGATAAAAATGGACTGTACAATTTTTTCCTTAGAAAAGAATGTTTTATTTTCTTTATTTTTGGTGATACGAATGTACATTGCTATTTTTGTGCAAAACCTGAATAATATTATTTTTCTTACCTTCTTGTTTTTCTGTCCCTTAATGATGGCTATGAATTTTTTGTATGGAAGTAAGGGGGTAAATGGAGAAATACATCAATACAGATGGAGGAAAAGTTGAGAATCCCTGACTTAAGGTGTACAAAACCAAAACAACTTAAATACTGACAGAACTAAAGGTAATGTTACATAACAGTTGAACAACTGACATTATGAGATTCAATAACTAAAATATGTTTTTATTTAATCAGTGAAAGCATGCTCATGGATTTTCAAACTAATACCTATTAATCTTTAGGTCCAATTGCTTCTCTACCAAATAAATCAGAGCGTACATCGACAAAGATTTAGTTCATTATTGATACTCGACATCTTAAGAAAACCTTTTTACATAACTGATGTGCAACTTTCAGTACCCCCAAATTGTTATACTTCAATACAATATGAATACTTAAGAGTGCTTCCTAATTTACGGAAGGTAAGAAACATAAATATATTCCATATTTCCTACCAGCTTGTTGCAAAGACATCTGCATGGCATATGCAATCTGTTCTTCCTCGGTCATAGCTGAAAAGTCTGGTACTGATGTTGTTCCAGTGCCCTGGTTTCCTTCACTCTCCAAAGACATAGCCAAAGCTTTCTCTAACAATGTTTCTTCATTACTTCCTGCAATTATAAAATGCAAAAAATATTAACATGAACATTAGAGATTAATAAACCACAAATAATTTACACAAAACAATGATAACTTTCTTAGTAGAAAATATCTATTTGTCTCTTAGCAGCAGTGATGGGTAAAGTACTGAAAATGTTACTTGAGTAAAAGTACTGTTACTTTAGAAAATATTCACCCAAGTTAAAAGTAAAAGTACCTGTTGTTGATGAATATTTATGTAAAAGTAAGAAGTACTGAACATATACAGTACTTAAGTAGCAATAAAGTGAAAAGTATCAACAACAAATACTCGCATGGTGCAACTTCACTGAATTTCCCACTAAAGAAAGGCGTAAGCCAAAATGTCGGGTACAAGTAATTAAACATTTTTCTGAAGTTGTTTCTCATCTTCATTAAATAATGGTTTCTATCCTTCAGTCAGCACTGAAAGCAGTAATATATTTTCAATATACCTACATTCAGTAGTAATAAATAGGAGTTATACCATGTCCACACTGGAAAACTATAGTAATACTAGGTGCAAACTGAATTAAACATAACAAGTAAAAGATCTTCAAGAAAGAGTAATGAGGACATAAGACTTCTACATACAAGTGGAAATTAGATTATTGTCATTAAGATCATTTTGATTTGAACAGTGAAATTCCAACATCTAAAACATAATTTCTAAAGTCACTTGGTACAGCAAGGATGCAATGATAAACAGGATCTAAGTTGTTCTTTCTTAAAGAATAAATTTTTAAGTTTCTCCTACCTGACATTTAAATTGGTAAAATCAAATAATCTATACAATCTTATTTTTTTTGCAGTAAACATTTTAATTTCTATGTGTCATTGCTATGCTTCAAAAACCATTTCCAAAACATAAAACAAGTAATTTGTTGACAAAATAGAATATAAAGATCAACTAGTAATTTTAGAGCGTGATTATTGTTTATTCTTCAATACAAACTTTAGTGACATCAATTTGTTTTTAATTTCTTACAACTGTTAACATACGATATAAAACATGTTGTTCTAAACAATAAGTTTGAATGAAACCACTGAGAAAAATTGAGTTTTTAATCAATACAAAAGGAAACCTCACAAAAAATTAAATCTCTGTCACTTCAGAGAGAGCCTATTCATTTCTTCTAACATGAATCAAATGAAAAGTGTAATGTTTTATAAAGTAATAACAAGAAGGTATGTTCTCAGCTAGATTAGGTTTCCACAACAGACACAGCTGTGCTAGTAATTCATAACACCTCAAACTTGTTTACTGAAACCTAACGGAAACCCAGAGTAATGCCCAACGTACTGTCTGCTACAAAGAAATTGAAAATATACAAGATATACACAAAAATCCTGTCAAATAAAACAGTCACTAAACTAAGGAATATGTAAAAATTTAACCCTATGCGTATTTTTTTTAAATTCCTTCAAAATTTAATTAACTTTATTATCAATGTATGTCAAGAAACTTGTAGTTTATAATTCACATTATCCAAATTTTAATTTCTTAATTTCAAAAAGGAAATATTTCAGTTCTCAACCTTCATCTCTCTCTATCACATGGCTTGTTACACTTATATGACCTCCTAAGTGTCACACAAATTACAAACTTATACTATAGGTAATGTAAAAAAGGAGTATACATTTTCAGCCTCCAAGCTTCTTGCTCTAATAACAAAAAGACATTACAAAAACAAAAAAAAACACATGCCATGCCCCAACTATCTCATCCTGTCTTTAAAAAATTTCAATAATTCTCTCCAACATTTGTTAATGGGTTATATATACCCAACACAAAGAACATATTGTTCTTTACAAGATTCATTATAAGGCTATTCTGTTTTGGTCCCCATAATTAGATATGTAGCCTATTTTTTGTGATTATGTTTTTCTTCTCCAAGAATGATGATGGATCTTTTTTTTTAACTTAATTAATGTTTAGTTAAAAAGACAGTTAAACTATAGTTATCTTGGAATATTTTATTCTATTGCCTTATATATGTTTTGTGTTCTAAAGATGTATATTAGAAACATCTAAAAATTTTTTATTTCAAGAACTAACTTACTGAAAAAAATTAGGCCTAGCTCAATTATGGTTTGCACGCAAAAAGATCAAGAGTCACTAACTTCCTTCATGATGTTTACCATCTGTGGCTAATTGCCTACCAGTGTGTTTATTGCTTTTGGCAAGAGGATTAGTGCAAGTAGTATCAAGCACAACAATAAAATTATTTATTTACATAAAACAGATGTGACAAGATAAAGCTACATGAGGGCTTTCTGTGCCAGCCATCCCTAATTTAGTAGCGATAGACTAGAGGGAAGGCAGCTAGTCATCACCACCCACCGCCAGCTCTTGGGCTACACTTTTACCAATGAATAGTGGGATTGACCATCACGTTATAATTTCCCCATGACTGAAAGGGCAAGCATGTTAAAGATAAGAACTACATGAAAAGAAATCATGCATCAATAGGAAAAAAATGTATTATTAACTTTATTTCATATTTCTCAACTTTTCATTTCACTGTACATTGATCATGACTGGTGATTTTCAATAGTTAATGCCAGGACAGACAAAATAACATAAAATATAGTTTTACCAAACACAAAAAAAGCTTGATATTCATTTAGGAGATTCTAGAGTACTTTTATTCTTAACATGAAAATCACCTCACACTCAGAATGATCAGAGTCTGAGCCACAGTGACTCAGTAAAGGCTTCATAAATTCATAGACAAATCTTTAATAAAATTACTTCATTAAAATTCAGATTTTTTATAAAAACAAATTTTTAATGCTCACTAAAAGCCTACCAAACTTCTGAAGATACACTTAGTAAATGCAGAATTATAGTAAACATGAATTCTCCAATACCACATTTGTATAATAGACTGACCCATGCACAAAGGGTTAAGAGTCTCATTAATAATGATTTGACTTTCACAAAACTGATATATAAAAAAAGGCAATATTAGGGTGTAGGCCTGTTCCATAATTACACAACCATATAAAAACCTAAATTAACAGTATAATTAGTAATATTAGTCTATCAGTAACATCAAACTGACATATAGCTCAATCTACACTAAACATATTAATCATAAAACAAACTGAGGCAAACACTAATTACAAGAAATCAAGAAACAGTAGCCTACACAAATGACAACCAACTGGCACATACACTAACACTAAATCAAAGTGAGGTAAAACTATTCACATGAAATATAGAAATAGTAACCTACACAAATGTCAACCAACTGGCACATACACTAACACTAACTCAAAGTGAGGTAAAACTATTCACAAGAAATAAAGAAATAGTAGCCTACACAAAATGA